CTTCCACGCTGCCCTTCATTTCCCGGTGAAGTCAATAAGCTTATACATATAAATGTAAATATGAAATGAAAGCTAAAGTTGCAAAAATGTTAAAAGTAAGTGAATCTTAATGCCCTAGTGCAAAGTCTAGCCTTAAAGGTAAAACACTAGTTTTCAGTTATTTGCCTGAATTCCCCACTAACACATGGAATAAATCATACAGAATCGCTAACAAGCATTTCTCACATCCTTAGCATTCAATTTCCAAGCTAATTTGGCTAAATGTTTGTTTGGGTTTTTTTTCCTCTAGAGTGACAACTAACTGGTTTGAACCAGCCTTAAGCAGTTCTTTTGTAATTATTTAAAAAGGCTGTACCTCTATTAAGTAAAAAAAAAACAAAAACCAAACAAACCAAACCAAAACCACCAAAAACCACCAAACAAACAAAAAACAAAAAACAAACAAACAAAAAAACCCCTGTTAGCTAGGAAATAATTAAGTGCATATTCTTCATCTACAAGTTAAAGTTTATTTTTTATTATAATGGAATTCTATAAGTAGGGAGAGGAGAGGATGAGGAATTCCTGCGATTTCTTCTTTTAGGTTGGAAGCACTATTATACTATGCCAAACTATAATTGCTCCTTCAAATATAAAAAAATTATACAAGAGTAAATGAGTAAGCCAATTCCTCTATTAAAGGGTGCATGAGGATATTAACCCTACAACCCCAACTCCTGCAAATGGCATTATAAGTTTTTCCCTAACATTTCATTCATGGGAAAGCTCCCAGTAAATAATGTTTGAGTATTAAATTGTTAAAAGCATTCCATTAATCAGAAGCTGTGAAGTCAGTGGGGTGGCTGTTGCAGAGTTTAGTCTCCTCAGAGTGGTGAATTGAATAGTCAACAAAAAAGAGAGGAGCTGGATGTAAGTGGAAGATGCAGCACTGCAAAATGTAATGCATTTTTAAAAATGCATTAGGTAGAAGGCAGAAACAAAGAAAACAAAACCACAAGCACTTGTCAAAGAAGATAAAAACTTTTCATACTCTTTTTAGATGGGATGCACATCAATAGCACCTGAAGATACCCTCAAGAGACACTTTTTAAGGTTAAATGCAACCACTTGTGCTGAGATGCCCATGTTACTTATGGCTGAATAAAGTTCCTATAACTCATATTGCTTGGCTCTGAGTGGGATCGAAGGCTCAACACACTTAAACGTCAACTAAAGCAGACAGACTGTAGAACGAAGCAATCAAAAGCCCACAGTAGCTGAAGGTCTCTGAAAATATGGTGGCAGTAGAGAAGGTTTAAACAGCAGTTCACAATTCATCTGTAAAAAGTGGAGTCAACAAAATTAGTATCAGCTGGGAAGCAGCCATAAATATCCTTTTGGCAATATGGGGTTCCTCAGCATTCAATCTAATTGGGTACAGATAACAATGATAAAACTGTCTTGCAGATGTTTCAGAAGTGAACTTGTAAAAATGTGACATAGACACCATGAGGATCTGAAGGGTGGGAAACATGATTTGAAGCATATCTCTCTTTCAATCACTGTAGCCTTTTTAACCTCTCCAGTTACAACAGCACAGGTAAAATTATGCATTACAACCAGAAGCCAAAAAAACTAACTAGCAGCAAGCACAAGTAGAGGGGTGACCTTGATCATAGTCCCCAAGAACACAAAAGAATCATATATTTATGAGAACTCCTGATGCAAGAGTGGAACAAGGACTTCAGAGGGGTTTGGTTCTCCTGAAGAAAAAATAAGCTATCAAACAAGTTTCAAAGGGAAGAAAGGTCTTGGCAGAAAACTACTTAATTCTTGGGATAAATTTCTGATTTTTAATGGAAAAGAAGATGAGAAATGTTTAGTGAGAGTTCTGTGACTAAATGTATATGTCGAGATCTGACCTAAGCATGAGGACTGCCTTTATGGATGTCAGAGACAAAGGAGATTACAAAAGCTGAGTTTCATGTCATCCTGCAACAGTCCCCTACAAAATAGGTCAGAAGGATCATACCCTAAAAACTCTTTGATTGTAAAGAGCACCCTGGTTGATGACTTCAGGTGTAGACATTTACACTTCACTTGCCTAGAATTAGGTGATATAAATCACTCTCTCAGCATCAGCCCAACTCAGCCAGACCTCAAAGGCAAAGCATTTTAGAACAAGAGTCACAAGACATGGTAGCTGCCTTGTTGGAGGAAGGCAGCTCCTTTATGACATGATGGGATATTCAGAGGAATCATCAACTGATTAGTAAAACCATTTCATATAGGTCACCAAACATCATCTGTTTCAGGGTCTTTATTCTGTCTTCCAGCTTCAAATGCTGAAACTGGAACAGAACAAGAGCCAGCCTGAATAAATCTCCATGGTGCACTGGGGTAACTAACTGATAACTATGGTAGCCCAAAGGGATCTGTGGCTGCACTGACTAAACTAAAAAGCTCTTTCTCATCAAATCAGGAAACTCAAGTTTTGCATCCTGTCTCATTAATTCACTTTGTAAAGCCAATACCAGTCTGGAATCTTTTCCAATATATGCATTTCTCACATTTATTTTTCTCTGCTTGAGGCAACGGAAGAATGAGTGAATGTAAAAAGACAATGCTATGAAGCCACTGACTGCCCAACAGCAAGGAGGGAGAGCTATCAGGAGAGAAGTATCTTATATCTATCATCTCCAGTTTTTGGGACCTTCATTGCATAAAGTTAATTTACCTGATCAGAAGGAGCTGTCCTTTTTTTTTTTTTTTTAAGGTGTTATGCTTAACGCTCATTTCCTTCATCAATGAGAAAAAACCAACTTAGTTAAGGCAAATCTTTCATACTGAATGATTGCTATTGATTTTCAAATGTACTAAGTAATATGTAAACTCTTTTCCCATACGATCAAAGCCTTTTACTTATCATGTGTACTGATCATGGTTATCAATGGGGAGTGACCCTGTAGCTTCTAGATCACGGAATACGGTCTTTATAGCTTACGCAAAGGGAGATAGTCATTTAGCTTAAGGTTATGAAACAGTTCACATTTTCTGCAGTTCAAGCACAGCCAAAGATTTGCAATACATACTAAGAAGAGGTTACATGCAAATGTACAGACCAATGAACCCTCAAAGGTACTTTCCATTTTGCCTTTTCTAGCTCTGTACAGAAGCTGATAACCTTGAATGCACTGAAATAACTTAAAGTTATTGCAGGGGGAAAATATGCTTCAAATGGGTTTATATGGCATTGAATTTACAGAATTAAGAAAAGTTTAAATTGCTTATTTTAAAAAAATGCAGAACATCTTAAAATACATTGTTTTAATTATTTAAAAGTGCTCCAGTTGCTCAAATTAAGTCACTTTAAAAAGCCTGTTGAAATATGCATAGATTTAAAATTCAAAAAACTTTTAAAACTGCTTGAAAAATTCCTTCTCTTGACACCAATTCTTTCATTAATTAAAAATATTTTTCATTCCAATTGTTCTAGATGCAATTTTCAGCTAAAAATGCCCATGCCCCTTTGATTTCAAATAGTAAAGAGCCACAATAACTAAATAATTTTTATTTTTATTTTGGATCTTGGTTAAAAAAAAAAATTAAAAAAAAGGGGATCAAAAGTCCTTTCCTCTCCTTTACTACATAAACATACAGCACAAAGAATATTAATGTGAGCTTGCTTCCTCATGCTGCTTTGTCCTTGTATTCTGTCTGGTCTTCAAAACCCAGTATGTGGAAATTAATTTGTGGATTATTGAAGAAAGTTCTTCTTCAGTAGAACTATCCTTTTTCCTAGGGTCTGAAGGGACGAGCCCAATGGTCTTGTTGGATAGTCAGAGGTTCAAGATCTTACCTCCCTGCAAAAACCCAGATTATTTCTGATCGAACACAGAACAGCTTTGGGGGGCTCATTCACTTTTGGCTTAAAGAACATTTATGAAGTGCAGTCAAGTTCCCTCTTACCCTTCTTTTGGATAAGGTAAAGGGACTTCACTCCATACCCATTTAAAACAGGTTTTCTAGGTTTTGTTCTTGTCTTAAGAACAGTTGTGAATATTTCATAATGTTCCCTCCTGAAAACACTCCAGCTTCTCAAGATCCTGTCTGCAGTTCTCACACTAGATCTAGACTATCCTACTACAGGCTTTCCTGTTGCCTAAACCAAGGAAATCATATCTTCTGTATTCTCAAATGGCATTATCTTGAGTTTGAATTAAAGTTCAGATTAAACTAAGAATCACATTAGGAGCTCAGAAGTGTTACCACTGGAACAGATAGATATGTTTCTTTCAAAGCTGCTGATTTTTAGGATATAGCCCATCCATCCCTCATATGCCTCTCTTCTTAGTGGGAACTGTATTCTTTTTTCCTCAAGGCATGACTGTCTTCCATTTAATTGCATTAAAACTAAAATTTGAATATTTCTTGATTACAACCTGTATGCCGTACAAAACAGGTAACTCTGCATAAATAATTATTCTGCATTGCTTCCTACTGCTAACATAATACGATGTGATCTACGAATGATGTTCTGACTATCAGCAAGGGTGAAAACTTTACCTTCCAGTTGTAAATACCAAGTATTGACTAAAAGGAATGAAACTGGGTAATTTAAAAATGGATACATTAGTCGCTTCCAGTTAATTTACAACATTCTGTCTTTACTGACCAATGACACTAGGAAGCTTGATAAGGTCCTGTGTAAAACTTACTATAAAACCATTAGAGATAAATGGGGAAAAAAATCTGAAATCACAGTCTTTAATAATAATAATAATAATAATAAGTTCTAAAGACAATGGCAAATTTATGGTCTCCTAGAACAGTAAAACTTCAATAGTTATGTAATATAGCTATTGTACATGAAAATTCATGTAATCATTTCTGGTCAAAACCTCATATAATACAGATTGCTTGCTTGTGTAACCTTGAAAATCATCTACAGCATTCCTCTGTAAACATTAAGTTGTTAGATGCCAAAAATCTGACAGTTCTAGGCACTGAAGATTACTCACCCTTGAAGGTCTCACTGCAGTATAAATTACTGAAAAATGAATCCCTCGTTCCTGCAGATCCATGGTCAGTCTTCCAATTATTTTGTCTATAAATAGAAACATGTATAATTTAACAAACTCTGTAAGTTGAGAAAGCTAAAATCCTACAGTAGTTGGAGAAGTAATGAGCTAGATGTCTAAGCTTATTTAATTTATTTAAGCAATTTAGGTGCTCATACCATTTATATGTCAATAGATACAAATGTTTAGAGTCTTGAAAAATACACAATTTCACTGAGACAATACAAAAGAAATACGTTACAACAGTTCAAAAAAAGGGGTGATTCTGAAACTGACAAGTAAATACCGTAGAAACTATACCTGAAAGTTGAACTTTGGGCAATTAAAAGCAAGTGCAGAAGAAGTCACTTAAGAGATGAGAGCAAGACGTATATACTGTTAGTCAAGTGCCAAGCTAATAAATAACTAAATAATCAAATAATAAAGCTTAAGAAGCATTATTCTGTGAATTACAAAGTACACAGAACCAATCACTGAGAAAAAAATACTCAAAACGTAGTGCTTAGTTTGGGGAACAATATGCATAATATTGGCAGCAATCTTCCTTTTTGCTTCAGTGGATTTAAAGCCTGATTCTGCACCCTCAACAGGATGTGGAAAATTTTGCTGTTGACTACAGTAAGAAGCCAAAGGAGAAATGTGGTGGAATATTTCTGAAAAAAGAAGGAAAAGTCAAGGAAGGAAGAGAGAAACTTCTAAAGATATCCAAAGACGCCTCTACAGAAGATCCTCCTTTAGTTCTGAAACTACAGGCAGTTGTGACAAATACTTACAACTGATAAATGTTTTCAAGCCCTACACAGAAATATTAACATCTGCTAATGATAAGGAGCAAAATAGTTGTGAATTAAGAACCATTATTAGTGTTGTTATTAGGACTGATAGAGAAGGAAGCAAGCAGACTCACATTTACTGTTTCAGTGCCTTTCCACTTCTCGTTCATGCACCAGTCTGGTGAATGGCTATTTTATAGCCTGAATATACAGGCTTCTCAGATTTTGAGGTTATACATTACAGAAATTGTATTTCAATTTCATATACTGGGATTGAAGCTTTTATTATTATCCTTTTTAACCTTTTCTATTTACAGTAATTATGGTCTCCTGGCTGAGTAAAATATTTGGCTTTTGTAAAAATGCAAGCATTGTTTTTTGTGCAGGGTTTTAACCAAATTGATTTCCTCTTATCGGTCAAGAATCACAGCTATGTAAATTTTCCTTCTAAAAAACTATTGCTAAAAGGATCTACTATAAGAAATGGAGTTACTCAGAAAAGACAGCTGCTTATACACTAGTGTAATTATATTGGGTGTGGAGGTCCAAGGCATTACATATCGTAGATTTTGTATTCTACAACCACAGAGTGCAACCCACTGGAAATTCTCAGCAGCCTCAGCTAAAATTTGCAGAAGAAAAAATAATACATAGAAAAATGCATAGATAGTCTTTGTTTTTTCATTCATTAAAGCAACCACTTGCTTTCTGAAATAACATGTTATTTGCGTTTCACTTCAGTAAGGAGCTACGTGTAACTATAGTTACCAGTAACATCTATAACTCCTGCCGTTGGGAAGATTTTAGAGGTAATTCCTTCATTCAGAGAAGCTGCTGTGAACACCCTTGTGACAACAGAGTTGATGTAGATCTTTGTTTGCCTGTGATCAAAACTTTACTTATGAAGTATCTGCAAACTCTCCAAGGAAAAGGGCCCAGATTGTCCACCACATTTTAAAGCACCCAAATTAGATGCCTACATGGGAACATTAGTCATCCCAGGCTCTTACTTTAATGGAAGAGGCATCTCCAGATAATATTGATGTTTGAGTGATTTTAGAGTGGTTCTACTGAAATGTTTTGTAGTCTGGTGTTTTGTTTTTTTTTTTTATTTTAGATATCATGGATCATGAAACACTACGTAGATCTATGAATGTGAAACAGTTTGTCTAGGATAACACCTTCCAATTAGCATAACTGTGATCAAACTGTGATCGGTCAAGAATCACAGCTATGTATACCATCTATACCCTGGTGGAAGGATTAAACCTTTCTACCTCACTGAAGACACACCCCTTGAATTTCACCACGGAATGCAGGATTAGTGTTGTTATTAATTTCTAACCTACCTTAATTTCTTTGTGTGATTTTATACAGGGATGGAAGGGATGGAAGAAATGAACTGAGAAGAAATGTTCTGGAAGGATAAAATTGAAAAGAACAGAGAGAAAGAATAGAAAAGAACATGATGAAAGGGGAGAAAATAGGAGAGAAGAGAAAGAGTGGAAAGAGGAACACACTGAGAATCAGAGTGGAAGAAGGAATACATGCATTCACAATTAAAGAGCCTCATCTTATGCAGATGGAGTCATAGGCAGCTTTCCCATTGATTTTGAGCTATGCTGGATCCAGCAGGTAAGACTGACATGACAGAATGCAACCTTCTCCTGAGCAGAGAAACGTTTAGGAAAACCGGCACAAACTGAGTAATAACGTCAAACTCTACCTCATGCAAAAGAAAGGAAGAAGAAATACTGAAAAGAAGCATAAAGAAAACAGTAAATCTGAATGCCTTGAAACTTGAGCAGATTTGGATTCTGAATTCCAGTTTGTATTTTCGTAATGAGCCTCATTGAAATAACGTGCTAAACCCCTCTGCTTACTCCAGCTTCTAGATATTTCAGAACAGCACATTTCCCTTGGGCAGAATCTGAGCCCATTTGTTCTGTCTTACAGAGCTTCCTGTCTGCAGTGAGTAAAACAGCAGGAGAAATTTCTCTGACATTTTATTACATCAGATTTTAAAACCCTTTACAGCGGAAAGGAAGGAAGTTGCTGTGACAAACATAAGAGGCTTTGTGAACTTCTGGGCAGCCTACTACAGGTCTGCAGTGTTTTTCTATGGATTTACTGTTGATACTGCAAAAAAAATTTACAAGCAGTGTTTATGGGTTAACAATTCTTTTGTCACGTTGTAGGTACATGACAAAAAGTATTTTTTGTTGCTTACCCAGGTAGGATCTAGCAGCAGTCCTTCCATAACAAACACCAATAACTTATGACCTTGCAAGAAGATCTGACCTTGAAGGGTGTCCTGACAGCAGTATTTGGCAAATGACGGTGGTTGTGCTGCAAACAGTACCTAGACATTTAGACCTATTGGAGCCCAGATTGCATGACTTGGAAGTCTGTGCTGGGGACACTTACCTACTACTTTTGGAATGTCTCTCTTCTGACTCTCTCCCATCTGCTGCACAGACCTTCAGTGGGATAATTTTAAGGAACTATGGCTCAGCAACTTTCATTTGAATTTAAACTTTCGTTTTAATTTAAACTTCCTGCTTATGTTATTTCCAGGTTTTATTCGGTAATGCATTGAGTGGCTGCTTTGGCAAATAAACCAGAAGGTGAGGATTCAGCCCACAGTCCCACTTTTCTACAGCACAGCTGTGACGCAGAATACTAAGCGTAGATTTTGGCCATACAAAGTGGCGCATCTTCCCTGATCCACACACCTTTTCCCTGATAACGGCTAGGTGACACTAACCAGAAAGTTGCTATAGCCTGCTCCTCTGCCATACCACAGGTTCCCCGTTAACTTTGCTGTTCCAAACCAAACTGGCCTGACACAGGGTTTGGGAAGCTTGTTCTTGAGTTTGTGCAGCTGATGAAACAAATGTCCCATAAAGAAAAAGCTAATGTTTAGCCAAGGCCAACATTAAGACAAGGCTTTTCATATCTAGTATGCTCTGGGGACAAGAAAAGAGAACTAAACTCTTCTGCAATTCAGAGATGGAAATCCAGCTGCTTATTTGAGTATAAAAACCACATTCACTTTGGAGCACTGCAAAAACAAAGAGAAAAGGACAAACCACTGATTTCAGTACTAAGGCATTTTCCCCTGATTTTCAAGTCTGCTTCTGATTTTACACTCCCAGCTCTGGGCAGAAACAGTCATATGCACTAAGGACACTGTTTAATTATCAGCCAACTACACTACACTACACGTCCCTGAAAGTGCCACTACATTGATAGTAGACTTTATAACTCAATCTCTAATTTAGAGTAGTAAGCAAAAGCCCTGCAAAAAACCAGATGCTTCTCAGTGCCTCTTTGGTGTACGGCACCTCCTTTTCAGCCAGATGCTAGGCAAGAAAAGTTTTATTATAGTGTTATATGGAGAAATTCAACTTTAACAAGTAGTCTTTAAGAGCTGCAAAACCAATAAAAGACTCTAAAATCAAAGGCTGTGAAGGGCATCAGTATTGTTTTACAAAGATTAGAAAAACATTTCCTATTCGTTCAGACAGCCTCTGGTGAGACCAAGACCTTCGAACTGCTGGATGAGCCTGACGCCTCCAGCTGCCGGTGTGCGAGGTGAGATCCAAGGAGGCAGCCCGAGCTGCGCAGAGACGCAGGGTTCGTACTCTGAACTGCGAGCATCTCGGAGCATGAGCAAAGGCCCATGCCTGAAGCAGAGGTGAATTATCATTGCATTTCAGGTCACAGAGTTATATCCATTTCAGTGAATTTTGAATCAGATATTCAGTACTTCAACACTATGACAAGTGCTTATAAGTACTGTAGATGGGGGAAAAGAAAACGTTCAAATATTACAGCAAAACCCGGGAACTAGAGAATACAATCTGCTCAAGTGAAAACACAGACTTAAATGATGAAATGTTACTTATATCTTGGTCAAATTGCTTACCATTTTCAGCAATTGCTTCCAGTGTGGAAATTTCATTTAAACCACTACAAAAAGAGTGGGAGAAAAAATAATTAAAAATCTTTTCTAGGCAAGAACAATGTGAACCAGAAATGTACAAAGATACTGCCTAGCAAAAGGATTACCATCCGCATCAGTCCCTCCATCATTCTCTCATCTCCTCCTTATGACTCTTTTCTTCTGCAAAGCCATTAATAGTACAAGGACCACATCTTCAGCTGATTCCTCAAACCCATCAAACTTCCTTAGCTGCAGAGAAGCCAGACTACTGACATTATTTTGACAAATGTCTGTGCAGCTGTCTTTTCATTTGGTGTTGGCCCCTTGTCTAACATTTGTACCTGAGCTCCTTAAAATGGGTAGTGTGTCGTTTTTTTGTGTAGTGACGTGATAGCTGCAATTGCTCTTCCTTAGGACCCATCGATATATGCACCGTATACCGACATGTACAACTGCCCAACTAACAGGCTAGGAAGAAGAAAAAGCAGGCGAAGCTGAGCAGAAGGACTCAATACACCCATGCCTTATATTTTCTCAGTATACATTCATCTGAAGGAACAGTCTCTCTCTACCTCTGTTAGATCAGAGACCTGGAAACATGGAGAATGATAGCCCTCCTCTCCCTTCTAGAGTGATGAAAACCAGTCTCTTTATTCATATTAACTGCAGGTTTTTCTGTATGTTTATTTGCTTGCTTATTTATCCTGCCAGTTTTTTTGACCCCTGGAATGCCTTCTAGCAATTAATTCTGCAGGTTAATCATGTGTTGCATAAAATAATTCAACCTTCCTGCTAAAAGTGTGTTGCCATTTAGTTTTATTAGTTGTCCCTTTGTTCTCACATAATGAGGCAGACAAAATAGGAACGCCTGACTGCCTTTCTCAACATAATTCATCTATTACACCTGGTAAGCTCATCAGGGGATTTTATAAAACACCGAATTCACCCTTGCAAGAAAAATAACTTTGCTAATCCTGTAAGCTTCCATTTTGGTTTTTAAATTTCCTGAATACAAGCGACATCTTCAAAAGCTTTAAAAATCGTGCACACATGTGGGTCAGTTTTGTTTGTGACGAGCTCTTACCCGACAAGTGGTTGAAGCTGAACTACCAGTAAATTCGGTTTAGATGTATTCACCTCCAGCTGAGAGTCACCGAGATTAGTTACGTTTGTTAACTTCCAATCTCCAGACTCCTGAAGAAAGCTCAGAAGATACCTGGTAGCCTCGCAGTCAACAGCTGGCAAAACTAAAGATGAAGGAGAAGACTGAAGAATTTCCTGTAAGAAATTTATGAACAGTTTATTTACTTGCTTAATAATTAAGCACAAACCATGTTTTTAGGTATCCTTAACTTAATATTCAAGGTGAGGAACCACCATGGTAAACACTACGTAAGTTCTCACCAGCCTGACGCAGCAGGCTGCTCCTGGAAAGGGGCAGTGAAGGGACACTTGCGTTGCTCTTATTCCTGCACCTTCTTGGGGCAAGCTTAAGGCACTCAGTGACATCAGATTCTCACTGTCCTTTCCATATGTGTGGTGGAAGAGGAGAGACAGATGACACGGAAGTTCTCAAGCTGAGAAGGTATTGGAGAGACAGGTTATGAACTTTGCCAGAAGCAAAACTCATCAGACGACCATCTAACTAAATGCCCTCAGAGGTGAGAAGGATCAATGTCAGACACTTCAAGTTCCAGAAGCTCTATTCAGTACCGAGTCATAGTTCGCATAATAAATACCCTTCCTTTGTGTACATCCTGGTGGTACCACACACAGTACAGACAAGTGTCTAATTTGTAACTATTAAATAAAGCAAGCTACATGTTTCAGGATCTACAGAGCCTCCAGACACACACTAACAAACTTCATGTCATGTACCTTCTGTCTTTCTACTCAAAATGCAAATTATAAAGCTCAGGGTGAACTGGTTCAGATAATCCAGCATCAGGGTATCTGTCACTTTATTTATAACTCTCACAGCTGAGTTTCTGCTGAAAATACTTGAGTGAGATGCATTTAAATACATTCTCATTCTATGAATTTGAAACCTGCATAGTGGAAAAACTTTCTTTCCAAAGGTTTTTCTTGATAATACAATTAACTTGAAATATTCAGGGAAAGAAAATGCAAGATGGAGACTTGAGGATGATCAAAACTGATATGCCTCAAATTTAATATGAATATCTGAAGATTTTTTTCATTGAGTCCTAATTTACAACTTGTTAACTTTGCTTTCCCATTTTCTGCATTTAAGTCTAGACTGAGTCTGTCACTTGATCCAACATTCAGATATTCAAGTTGTTATAGACTCTCTCTCTCCCCCTCTAACTGATGCAAGTGTTGTAGTGTTGCTAACACTTTTCTCCTCCTACTCTTTTTCCTTTTTGTCTGTTCTCTGACTGCCTACCACTTTTTCTGACCTGCTCTGGTTCTTTCTAATTGCTCACATGTTTTCTTTCCTAGGCAAAGGCTAGTTATTTTCACATTTATATAGATGCTTATAAGGAAGGACTATGCAGTATTGTCTGGTTTGCCACACTGATAGAAAAATAACTGCAGAAATTAAAATAGAGCAGAAAGCAATGATCTGGTTCACAGGTCTTTGAGTAGCATTTTTAGCACCGCCTGGAAGGAAAGGATGATACATTTCGTTTTGGTTTGTTTGCATATATGAATTTAGAGCTAAAATTCTGAGCAATAGTCGATTATTTTATTTTCCATATTTTAATCCCTTGCCCCCTAGCAGCAGCCAGAATGACAGCAGCCACTTCTTCCAAGGATATATATTAAGCAGATTACTCATTTATTATAGAATAGTTATAAAATGCATCATTTCTGAGTAATATCTGAATTGTGCCTCTGTTCCTAACCAATCCTGCACTGCCATCTGTCTCAGCTTCCAGCCACTGGTATTCAACTGTTTTCCATCTGAAGGGCAGCTGGATACCTACTCATTGGCCTCAGGCAGCCATTCTGATCCCACGCCTCTTGTTTGTCCTTGACATTTGGCCACTGCATGCTTGTCTTTACAATACCCATGTGTTGCTTTACGCATTTTAGGATTTCAACTACCATGCATGTTCAAAACACAAGAACTCCAAAAGAGGGTGGAGAATGAAGAGGGCTTCTGAGAAACACTTGATTTTGCATTCTGCTAAAGGACTAAAGAAAGAGGTACAACCACACAGTAGCTAGGAAAGGGAGAGGGAGAGGGAAGAAAACCCTCTGTTGAGCTGTTGGACTGATAGCAGAACTTCCTACACTAAATGCCAGAATCTATAACCTGTCTACAGGCAGCTTACTCTAAGTACATTTACCTTCTTTAGTGTCCCCTGAAGCACCTCTCCTGAGTGAAATATTACAAGAAACTTCACTCTTGGATTACATATATCACTATTCAAGCTTTTTTGCAGGTAGATGTGGAATAACTGTCCACGTTTCTTGCTATCCTGAAGCCAAGTAGCTGCGCTATGATAAAGCTGGGCTTGGACTTACTTGCCCAGCTCTGGTTTCAGTGTTACGCTAACTGGATTGATATTACACCTAAGCAATTCGAACCTGGAATGGAGTAAATTTAGGTCTATCATTAAAAATCTATTGTTAAAATCTTTGTTAAAGACTCCTGCATCCATCTATAAAAGATCATACTCGTTGTTCTGAACTAGCTTATGTTTGGGATCAAAGCAGATAGACAGTCCTATAATAAAAATATTAGTTGGGAAAAAGGCTCCTGCGTTGGCTCTGAAAATATCTGGGAACCTACACCTGAAGTAGGCAGGCTCTTTCCTGTAAAAGAGATCTTTTAAATCTTCATCTTTTGCCTGTGAGTATGTAATTTAAATATTGAAGTATTTATTTTCTACAGCATCGGTCAATGAGTTACCTATAAAAAAGAAAAATCTATTCAAACAGATTTGCAAGCACATCTGTTTCTACACACAGTGAGAACTGCAAAGAAAAATATCCTTGTTGCATTTTAACTTTCCAATTACTATTAATCTTATAGACTTTTACACTGTACCTGTGTTCTCCAAAATGTATGCATAAAGCTATATATCATGATTTTAATGAAAATTTATCTGATGTACTTTAGCTGATAAAATATGTTGTAGCTACAGAAAGTATTGTTGAACAAACCTCCATACCACTGTACTATATGGTGGCAAACATGACATCATATTTTTTTCCAAGGGTTACAGACACATCTGAGGAACTCTAGAGAAACAAACCTGAAGTCCAAGAATGGGAAGAACTATTCCAAAGAATGAAATACAGACTATAACAGCAAGGAAGGATTATACTGTGAAAAAGCTGACATGGCTTTTGCAAAAAGAAGTTGTGCCTCAGAATTCTGCTGAAAACCTCTGAAGGAGTCAGTAGGCACGTGCACGTACACCAGGGAGCTCTAGCGTGGATCCACAAAAGGCACTCGGCAGAGTCTTGAGGCAACTTTAGCGTGAGAGATGCAGTCTTCACGTGGGGGTAAGCAAAGAGATAGCAAGCAAGGGGTAGAAAAAAGTATCTGTTCCTGCAGTAGGGTCTCTTCTGTTCCACGTGTTTGTAAATTATCTGGTAAAAAGGCATAAACATTGCGCTAATGAAATCTGCTGATTACACTGAATTATTCAAGATAGTAAAGGCAAGAGCTGATGAATTGCAGAAGCAACTTCTGGTACAGCCTCTTGGGCAACAAAGTAACTGATGAGATTCAATGTTAATTGATTTTAGCAGGGCACAGAGTGAGAAAAAAACAACAATACTAATTTTATGTACACAATAATAGATAATAGACAATAGCCTCAGAACTGAGTGTTACCCTTCGCTAATGAAACCTTAAGAGGCACAACAGCTCTTTGATAATGTCAGTTCAGTGGCCGGTAGTGATCAGAATTGAAAAATCAAATATTGGTAGTTTTTTGGAAAGGGCTAGAGAACAAAACATCATCATGTCACTAAATAAATCTATGATGAACGTATCTTATTATGCAGTTCTGCAAATAATATATCCAAAAAATAATATAATAAAACTAAAAGAGGTAAAGAGAAAAGGAACAATCAAAACTAGAGTAGGACCTCTGTATCACGCATGACTAAATAGTACTCCTCAGTCTATGACCACTGAGTGAGGATACGATGGAGACAAAGAACGACAAATGGCAATGACTTACAATAATAGTTATGCAGCTGCACAGCTGGCCACTAATTGGAGTGTGTTACCATACACTCACTTCTAAGGAGCTGAGCATTGTTTAGGGAAAGCCAAAGCTAATATTAAAGAAAAATAGTTTGTAAGGAAGGTAGGTGACTGCTTGACAAAATGTTCCCCAAGTGCTAATTTTTGTATTTTATTATTTAATTTAAAAGTTCTTTGAATGTTTAAGATAAATGATCTACCTATAATATTCCTTTTGTATTAACTGGAAATAGAATTCTTTTATTGCATACAAATCCATTGATCCCAGAAGCTCAAAACAGCTGCTAATGTAGCTGAACAAATCTAATATCTGCAAATGCCTCTGTTGTTTACAAGCCTGTAACGCTTCTACAAATAACACGCCCTTCTTGTAGTACACATGCTGCTACCTGCACATATACATTCTAAATGAGATCTCCAGTTTAGGTTTATGAATAAATTTGCATTTCTGAAGTTCAAAAGGAGGATACTCGAGTGACATGGAACATCTATTTTAGCTTAATGAATCACTTGTATAATATAGAGTGTGAAGGTATAAAAATTTGTGATTATGCAACATCAAAGATTCTAATTTTCCCAGTGAGAAAATTCAGACCTGACCTTCCCTTTGTCCTGTGTTCTGTGAGTATTATGACAGAGTCTTTCATAACATGATTAAGAATGGATTTATTTCCCAAAGTAGCTCAAGTGGAGTGCAACTGATGCGACAGCAAATGAGCAAATTTTTGTAGCCTCTATTATATCCAAGATGGAACTGGATGATTATAAAGATCCTTTCTGGCCCTAAAAGCTACAAGTCTATGCAAAAATACTGACAAAATTCTCCATATGGGCACCTAAGTGAAAAAGAAATATTTAATTTATACATCTCATTTTCTTTCACTCAAGTTACAGCACTTCACCCCCACAAACCACAACAGAAAAGTATTAAAATTGCCAAGTCCAACAGAACAAATCTAGGAAGTACTGGAGTTAAGGTGAGCAATTTGTCAGAAGAAGCTTTCCAGTTTTGAAGAAGCTGTAATGAGAAAAAGTGTCTCAGCTCCAAGACAGAAGGGGAACAGAAGCAAGGTCAGAAAGCAAACAGTTACTGATTTTTGTTCACCTTGTTGAAAACCTGGGTTTAAATCTTAGCTCTGCCAGATACAGACCAAAGATTTACTTAAACGTGATCCTTTGTTTAGCTTAGGACTTCCTCACTAGCCTCGGTAGGTCCCCAATCCACTCAGTATAGCGCCCGATTTCTAAACCTGGCAGTCTCTGGACTCATCTCCAGCCTTTGGCTCTAAGCTCTATCTACAGTGCTGTTGGAGTCCTGATTACAAGGCAAAAGAATAAAGTTTTAAATACTTTAATATCCCTCCTCTTAGACATCCAGGGCCTACTTAAATAAGACCACCACGTCATCGGGAGCTTGCTTGTGTACATGTCACAGAGCTTCTAAAATCAAACCAGCTTTGCAGTCAGGCAGCAACAAAATTTGCTCCAGACACAGCCTCGCATAGATTTTAAACCCAGAGAAGACGAGGCATACCAGAGAAGCAGCAGTACCTGTGCCTATAGGCGCAACCGCTGATCCTTACACTACAAATGATCATTACTGCCATTCCTTCCTCAGAAAATCCAATGCACATACTCTGAATAGCTGTTTTTGTTCTGCCATCAGTGTCGAAATGCTGTTATATGGCAAAGAGATGAAGATCTCCAGTATCAGTGGCACAAGGGAAATGTGAGGTTCTTAGACAGTATAGATGTAGAGACAGGTAGTACGTGAATATTTATGTATTTAATTACACATACAGCTTGCTGTGTGGTGCTTGGGAATTTGTGCTTCCTCATGAGCTCTGATACCACGTACATTACTAATAGCTCTGTTCATCCTGCTCTGCCTACAAGGATGCCTTTGTGGCTTCCACGTGTCAACACTTCCTTGGTCTAATTACAGTTCGATCAACTGTCGTGTAAGTATAACCAGAGATGCCGCACACAAAATTTGTAAACCTCCTGAGTGAGAAGAGAAGTTGAAGTTGCTGACTGGCTCAGGAAGACTCCGTCTCAGATTCTGTGCCTGGAGCAGGTTTCAAATTACTCAAGTAGCATGGCTCTTCTTCAGGTAGACTAAAGCAATCCAGTATCTAGTCATATATTAACTACCTTCAAATATGAAACAGTTAACTGCCTGCATGAGTTGAGAGAGCTTCAATTTCTATGAAAATAAAATAGATGTTCAATTCTGAAAATCAGGAATAAATAATTGATTCCTATAACTTTTCTTCCAATGACTTCAAAACAGAATTTTGGGGTGTCAGTCTGGAAGTTTATATTGTTTTTTACAATACAAAATTGCAGCATGTTTAGGAACAATTTTGTCAGTTACAATGAATTCTTACAACTTGATCTTCAGAAGTAAAATAGCTACAAAATACTTCTGCAAACTCAGTTGATTTCCTTTAACCCATCTGCTTAAGCTGAAATAGTCTCAATAAATAATTTAAATAGGAAAATTGCTGCAATTCAGTTTAATTTTCCCAGTTATTGTTTGTTTGCATCTTTCTTATGTCTTTTTAAATTTTAAATACTGCATGTAAAGAAATAAAAGACAGAAATGCTTACCTGAATGTTTTGAAATGGATTCTTGTTACTGTAGGATTCACTGAGGTATGTGAAATCATCTATGCTAAGCTGAAAAGCAAAGAGAGTAGATTGGTGAGAAGGAACCACAGCATCTCATTTAGGCACAGACTCGCACTCGGCATTGGTGAGAGAAAAGGAATTCATGTTACATACTGTATCTTGCAGGAACACGATGAGGTTTCTGGAATTCTGGGTAAAAACAGGTTGCAAGAGTACAGTCAGCTCCTGTGCGGAGACAACGTGTCCTTCGTGCAAAGCACTGTCTGGATTCCACTGTGATCTACAAAGAAAAATATTTTTTTCTGTGAAACTTGCTGCCAAAGATGACACCTTCTTTCTTTAAATATGCAGCAGCAGGTAATGCTACCATCATCTTTGGATTAAGATCAGGTTTACAGCTCAGTTTACTTTCATTCTACTCAAGAGGCAAAGAACTTACCCATTTATGACCATATCACATAAAAATTGGTCCAATCAAGATAACTCTCTCTACTTTCTTCTCTGTGTACAACAGCACAACTGCATCTTTCAAAAAATTTCCTACTGAGTGGAACGAAGACGAATATGTTGAAAACCTTCAGAGAGAATTCCCCAAGGGAATCTCAACTCCCAAAACACTTTCCATTGCCGTCAGGCATCTTAGTGGCCAGAGAGGAGAATTCAGGCTAGACCACAAGTTGTCATAAACCAATATTTTTTCATAAACCTTTTGTTATGTAAAAGTGGATTCTCAGTGTTATCGTAAACAATGTTCTCTCCTAAGGCTTTCATGATGAAGGAACCACTCCGCAGAAGCAGCTCAGAAAAGCCACCTTTCCAGAAGCAGGATCTCTTCTCAACAGAATGGCTCAAGACATCAAGGAAAGATTATGATTCTTTTGCCAATCTGTCATTACGAGGATTGGACAGAGAAGTAACTCATCTATTTAGTTTTGCTACTATACAAAACAGTTATGGGCAAAACAAGAGGTGGCATTATTCTTTCACCTGATTGGGATTTTAACAGTAGGCAACATGGGTCTATAAGGATGAAATTTATTATGAAAATTTTGGTCCTAGGTGTCCTGTCATTCTGTAGAAAACCCACAGCTTGAAGCTTAATCTCCCATCTTCCCCAAACACACACCAGTTGCTAAGGCCTGAGAAATCAGGTATTCCAGACCCTCTAAACAGTTCTAATTACAAAGCACAGAATAGAGAGAATTGCTGTGTGCTGTAGCATCAGCTATTATATGATTGCAATTTGGTGAAGTTGAGATGCTTATTAAATTTTCTAACCCAAAAGCAATTTGAAAGTGACCCTTGCACAGCAAGCTTTCATGAATGAAAACAATCTTTGCAGTCTCCTGAGACAGAGGCAGAGCAGGGGTAATGAACACATAGGGGGGTTTCAATGTTGTTTGTCAGAAAAGGAAAATCTGTATTTCACTTCAAGACTTCCTAGTAATTCCAAAGAAGAATGC